CCAAAAATCAATTTTAGGAAAATTAACTATTTTCAAAAATATTTAGTTTTGGAAAACACTATAAAGATATATTCTTCCAAATTTTATCTTCTTTTGCTAATGTTTTGCTTAATGATTACGTTAAAATTATAAATTATAGAAAGCAAGAGTCCCGCCACTCCAATTCAAATTCAGCTAACTGTAAGACAGCAAAAATCCGTAAATTAGAAATTGTAATTAGTTTTTTCTAATGGGATGGCAGGGCTATTGGTGAACCCCAAAAAAAGCTAACGCGCCTTGGCAATACTTCAATTGTGGTGTGGAAATTTGCTTTAATAAAATTACAATTATCGAGATGAAATTCATGTAGGTACCTAACAATGTTTACACCTAATTTTTTGTCTTTTCTATTTTGTTCTTAATACCTGCATCTTGAAGTGTATTTTAAATAACGTCACATACTATCAGTGATGAACAAATGTTAGTTATTTAATAATTCAATTCATTTTTATCGTAATGGGTGTCTAAAAATCATGTGTAACGACGTATAGTAATAACAAGTAAGACTCGCAGAATAGGACTCTCACATCGAAGCAATGCGCTGTTGCCAAATTTCTCAGCATGGCTTGTATTAGAGACGGCTGTGGCTATCGCTTACTCTGCTGTTATGACACCGTTTGCGTATTTACAAACAACAACACTTGTTGACATTCATGTTTCGTTATCATCAGCATAATCAGCATCACTGTAAATCTCCATTGTTACCAATATTTAAGAATCAAATTGCGTAATAAAAATCTAAACGAACGAAAACTGTTCTTTCTGATACAGGAAAAAGAAACTAGAACAAATACGTATCTACGTAATTCGACCAAAATAAATAAACAATTGACAAATTCTGTAAATTTTGTAACAACCGAGTGACTACAGTATATTAGCATAGACTAGTGGCACTAACTATCATTGAACAACTGTTGAAACAAAGCGTATACGTGCGTAAATGCATGTGCATGTGTCAAAATCATTTACGTTCAATTAACTATATTGTAATACATTAAATAGGAGAATGTCTTAGACTGTCAGATAGCGACAGAAAAAAAAACAATTTTTACAGTTGTATTTATACAATAATAGGGGACATATTTGCAGCCACAACCTAAAGAACAATTTATTAAATAATGTTCATAACGCATTAATGCATATTTATATATTTCACAAGGCAGACAATTTGCCAATACGTATATTATGGACCAAGTAATAAATTTTTCATGCACGTGCATTATGAATAAGGACATGCTGCTTAGGGCGAAATAAATAATTGTAATTATAATTTCAACTGTTTCACATTGCCTGGCATTATAAATATTGATAAATACAGCTGTCGCAAAGACAAGAAACTATGAATCTCAAATTGCCATCAAGGCAACAATTGTTGTAACAAACAATTATGACGTTTATTTTGTGTAAATCCTCAATTGTTTCAGTTTTCGTTTAAATTATGAGTCTGATTATTTAATATTGTTTATGGTACAGTTCCTTTTAAGTATAAAGGTTATACGAGGGTGGATTGATAAGTTTCCGGCCTAACCAAGAGATGACGCCACTAGGCCTACCTTGAGGTGACATTCTATAGTACCATCCTTGGATAGCTTGTAGCTATAGTTTCAGCCCGATCTCCTTGCTANTCGCATAAGGTAAATAATGTCTGCATGGTGTTGTTATATACGCATAAATGGAGTTTGAAATATAAACAGAGAGACCCAGAGATAAAGAAACTGCCACCAAAAGTAGAATAAACCGACGCTCTTTCTGATAAGATGAATTTTTAATTTTTAACAAATTGTCTACAGCATTGAACGTCGTAAATATTTTTGGTAGCTTTTTGGCCGATGTAAATAAACAAATTAATCTGAATAACAATGATCCAACACTCATGGAACCTAATTTGAATTTTTGGATATTGGAAACTATCTCTGTTTCTTCGGTAGCATTCTTTGAAGTACAAGACTAAAAAAGGATAACAGAATAAATGCGGAAAAAGATTTTTTTATAAACACTTACCACAAAAACATCAATACTCTTCGAAATATAAAACAATTGAACTGCATTAACCATAACAGTTAATAAAATAAAAACGATAGAAAATGACGACAAAACCAATTTAGTTTCTGTTTTATTCATTTTTAAGACATACATGCCAAAAAAATTACTAATCGTCCCTATGGGAGAAAAAGATTTTAAAATATTTGCACCCTGCTGTCTCATTTTTCCGTTTCAATAGAAAAATGATTTTCTTTAGTGACTTCAAACTTCGTCTAATGATGCACTGTTTGTTAATCATTAAAGGGATGAAAGAAAAGGAGAATTAATATTTAGTTTTAAATTATCTTGTAACAAAAGGTTTTCTAATTGAAAGCAAACTTAATTAAAAAAATTGCGAAAAATCAAAGCTAATAAAGTTAAAAGCTTTTGTACTTATTACTAAAAAAAAAAAACATTGACGTTTATTTAAAAAATATTCAAGGCGTTTCTTTAGTATACACCGAAAGGGTAGTTGAAGCAAAGTAATTGTCTGAAATTTTGCAAAATGATCAGAAGATATTTAAGAAGAAAGCTTCAGAACCGAAAAAAGAACATTTTTGAACTATTCCAACCGCTATTTCTTCTTAGTACTGTTACAGGAGTAACAACTGTAAAATGTGATCTAAAACGTAAAAGTTTAGTGCTTTCAAAACTTGCAAGATTTTTATGTTTCTTATTTACTTTGTTATCTTTAGTCTTTTTATGTTTTCTTGTACAAGATTTCTTTTACACTAAAAAGGTAAGTTACACCATTCTAATAGATACGTTATGGACCAAGTAGTAAATAGGGACATTATTCATAATGCCCTTATTTCATTTAATTGTAACCAAAGTTTTAACATCTAAGGTTTAATAGTTTCATTGGGATTTAGACTACTAAGAACTAGAGAATTTAGACCATCTTCCTAATAAGTAAAAATTAGTAAAGTCCAGTGAATTTCAGTTTTTATTATCATAGTTTTTTGTTTTTAAATATTGATTTTAGTACCAAAACAAAAATAACAGTAATAAAACCCAAATTTAATTGTTTTGCCCCATAGGTGACATCATCATCATAAAGTCGTCAGTCCTAAAACTGGTTGCGTACCTCCACTCTTTCCTATCCTGAGCTAATCTTCGCATTTCCTTAAAACTAGAACCACCCATATCCTTAACCATCTGCGAACAGTAATCTAATCTAGGTCTACCTCTACCCCTCCTAACTTCCGTTTCTGCCTCTAATATGTCTCTGACTAGACCTTCGTGCCCGAGAAGGTGACCTACTAACCTATCTCGCTTATTTCTTATTAACTTCCATAGAGTCCGCTGTTCTCCTACTCTTTCTAATACCTCTTCATTTCAAAACTTCTCGAACTTTAGAATCGGAATTAATCCAAAAAATTCGCCGGTAAGTTGCAGCGTTTCCCCGTAGAATAGTTCTGCAGGGTTAGCTTGCATGTCCTCTTTCCAGGTAAAACGAATCCCAAGTAACACTGTTGGTAGGATTCGTGTCCAGGAATTGGTCTGATGGCACATTATTGCGGCTTTCAGCTGTCGATGTAGACGTTCTACCATGCGGTTTGCTGAGGGATAATAAGCCATTGTTCGAACGTAAGACGTACCAAATAAACGGTTTAATTGTTTAAAAAGATATGACTCGAATTGTCTGCTCCGGTGGGAGATAATTCACAAAGGAGTCGCGAATATAGCGATACAATTGTCGTATAAGGCACAAGCGACGGTTTCTGCTTCTTTGATCAGGGTTAAGGACTCTTTTGGCCATCTAGAATATCGTAAGGCAGTACCGGCATTCTTCCGGCGACGGCATGATAACTACGTCGATATGTATATAATCAAACCTTGATGACGTCGGTGGAAATGTACCCACGGGAGCTGGCACATGTCTAGTTATTTTAGAGCATTGGCAGGAAGCACAGGAACGGGCCACTGGCAAACGTCCTTTTTAGCGGACGGCCAAATGTAACATTCCGTCACAAGTTTGATAGTCGCATTACCTACTGGGGAAGAAACGTCGTGCACGAAATGAAATGCAGCTTTCCCGAACCTTTTTGTGAAGAACGGACGGGCGACACTCATGGAAGCATCACAAAAAGTTGATGTGTCGGTACCTGATAACTGAAAGAGTTTTAGCTTGGGTGAGGAATCATTGCTTAGGAATTCCTTCATTTCTGGATCCTTTTTCTGTGCTTTTACGAGGGCTTCGTAGTTCAGAGTAACGGGTAGTTCCACGACACAGCATACGGCATCAGCAGCGACGTCTACGGCAGAAATGTGTCTGACGTCGCTGAAAAATTGAGCAATAAAATCGAGTTGCCTGACTTGACGAGGGGAGCACTGGTCGTACTTTTTTCGAAAAGCGTAGATGATGGGTATGTGGTTCGTAAAAATAGTAAGCTGACGTCCTTCCATCATGTACGAGATAAATTACCAGCAACTCACGGTAGTAAGCGGCGTTGTTTAACTAGACAGAACTAAATTTCTTAGAAAAGAAATCCAAGAGCTGCGAATAATTGTCGACGTGTTGCTGCAGGACTGCTCCGATAGAGTAGTTAAAGGTGCAGTGAATATTGCCAGGGTCGCGTTTGATTTCGGATGGGCTAAGAATGCAACTTGCGAGAGGGCTTTCTTACAAGCTTCGAGTGCCTGCGTTGTTTCCGGCGTCCAAGATACGAGGTAATTTCCCTTTTCATTTCCTTGCAGGAGGTCGTTGAGTGGCGCATGTATCTCTGCGACTTTCAGGACGAATTTACGGTAGACGTTAACCATGCCTAGGAATTAACACAGTTTCTTAACGGTTTAAGGGAGCGGGAAAGGTCGAATTGCATCCAATTTTTCAGTAAGTGAATGTGTATCGGTATCGCAAACAAGGTAGCCAAGAAACTTGACGTCCGAATGAGAACACGAGAACGAATTGGAGCGTGATCTCGTTCGGTAACGTTGATTTTTATGGCAGCTAACTCTCGCAGGGCTGTTGTCAATTTTCTAAAAAATCTAACCTGCTGTTTACGGTACTACTAGCCGTGTAGTTTCTGTACTACGAGATACACTCTTCTCAGTAGCTATAGTTTGCAAATGTTAGTTCACTTAGCCGTAAAATTGTTAATTGCACTGTTATCGTCGAGTAACCATCGACATGTACTAATGGACGTGCTTTAGCCGTATGTCGTTGTAATAATTTCTTGGCTCGAAAAGAGTGAAGGAAATGGCGTATGGTTTCGGACCAGTGCTATTTCTTTCATTACACGCGATTGGCTTCTCCGAAGTACGGGCGCAGGGCGTCCTAACAACGGCACTGTCGTGAGAGAGAGAATTCTGACCCTAAGGTACGTCCATCAGTATACGTCGAAGCGAGTAACGGTGTATGGACCATCCGAAGCTTGTTGTAAGTTCGGGCAGCTCCTCTAAAGGCCGTCGTGTGTTGCTCGCTAATACGAGTGGCGAAGTTCTTCAGAGGTCCTTCCATCTCCGATGCTGGATGCAGTCTGAAAACAAACACTATGTGGGGTCATATAATGAGCAAAGGAAAGAGAACATGAAGTGATGTCCGCGAGGGAGAATAAATGACGTCAACGAAGTGGGCATGAGATCGGGAGAAAGAGGTGATCGGTAAGTATGTGAATCAAGTCCTACCGGATCACAACAGAAGAGTTAGTCAGGACCACGCACTAGTCATGGTACAGGAACCGTATGTTCAATCCGGCGTCTAGAAGAATATTCTTCATACATTGGTCGACAATACCAGATACGTGATGCAAGCCTACAACTTTAAAAGAACAAAGAACTACTCTAAAGTAGCTGTAAATATAAATATCTAACCTAACAAATAAAAAACAATACATGAGTACAAAAATACACATGAAAAACCACACAGATGCTGTTAAGACGCAGCTAATTAAATGCGGCATTGCAATGTCGTATTACCCTGTGTGATCTCACCAGGGCCGGACTGACCCTTGTCTGTACTTTTAAAAACGTTTTATTCGGACCACCAAACATTTACTTGATTTCCTTGTTTTATGCTGCCCTACCGCCTTTAGCAAGCTAGCTACTTACTTCCGCATGCAGAAACACACGAAAAAGAATAGTAGTCATTATTTAAACTACGGTAACTCATAAAACTTAACGAATTTTGTTAAATAAAGCAGAAACGTGTAAATATTACAAGGCCTACAATAATTTTCTTTTACTACACAGTGGCTTCCTTAGGAAGAAATATAATTCATCCAAAAATATGCTGTAACTTTTGCATGTTTGGGTTATATTTCATGAAGAAGTTACAAGAATTAAATGCTTCATCGATTCATTATTATATTAGACTTTTCTACATTATTTGAAGTAATAGAATTTAGTTAGCACAGCTTCCCGTGGTTGAAACACACTGCTGCTGTGACGAACTATAAGCTAAACCAGATCCACAGGTTCTTAATCTATATTCGTACCACCACCAGACGGAAATGCATTCGTAGTATTGGTTACAAGTAGGACCGGGATATCTTGTACCAGCTGAGGTGCATGTTGGTGGTGTACCACTTGGACCTTTGGAAATAAAAGTTTTAATATGAAAACTATATATTATAATCCGTTTAAATGAATAGATTAGACCTATGATCAATGATTCACACTGCATTACTACCGGAAAAGGATAAAACGCCTTAAATATCTCGTAAAATACATATTTTTAAACAAGTTGTACGACATGCTTAGTCCAATTGTGATTTTGACTTTAGCCTTAAGTAAAGGTCAAAATTTCGAAATAAACTTAAACAATGCATTAAGTTACTTAGTTAAAATAACCAGATTTCAGTAAGTTATTCAATCGTAAGTTATACTTTTGTCCAAATCATATTCTTTTCAAATGCTGGTTTTCTACACCAATTCTATGCTCAAAACATGGATCCCTAATATACTTATGAGATTGTCATTCAAAATATTTAAGTTGATCTTGAAACGTTGAACATGAGCCAGTCAAAGTCAAGGCCACATAGGGCTCCCCGGTAAGTTTCGTATAACTTTATCCCTTTTTGCTCGACTACAGCACAGTTCTGTATCCTGAACAATTGTTTTATTATAAATATTGTAATGTAGATTGTTTATGACGGTTACACATTAATATCGTTGTAATTCAATTCAAATTCCATACTAAAGGGGACATTAGAGTGTCCCGGTTAAAATGGGTTAACATATATATTGATAAAATTTCTTGCTGTCATGTAGATAATAAAGTAATGTGCGATAAGAAAGTAAAAACATACCAAGTATGTAAAGTTGTAATAAATAAGAACAAATGATTTATTACATAAAGAAAAATCAAAACTTACCGGTTGTTGTTGTTAACACTGTTGTAGTAGCAGGTGCTGAGGTAGAAGTGATGACTGAGGTTGTAGTAGTTTGTTCTGTAGTTGTAACTGCTGGAGCTGGAGTTGTTGTTCTAATTGTTGTAACTGGAACTGTAGTGGTTATTGGAGATGTAGTAGTTGCAGCTGGAGTTGTTGTTCTAATTGTTGTAACTGGAACTGTAGTGGTTATTGGAGATGTAGTAGTTGCAGCTGGAGTTGTTGTTCTAATTGTTGTAACTGGAACTGTAGTGGTTATTGGAGATGTAGTACTTGCAGAAGTAGTAGTTACTGTACTGGTTGTCGTTGTGGATGAATCTAGTACACAACTGAAAAAAAGTTGTGATTATCAGGAGCCACATTGGTAATGTGTGAATATATATTGATAAAAGCAAATAAGAACGCTGTTTGATAATAATTCCCAAGCAGAGGTATTGAAGAAACTCCAATCTGTCGTAAATCTACCTAACCAAGCAATGACGTCACCAATGCATATACATCTCCAAAGAGCCTGTCGTATTATTGCCTCTTTTATATATTATAGGCCACCACATATTGTTTTTCAATGTTTGAAAACTACGAAAAAATATCTCTCTGAGTAGTAACTACTAGAAAAAAAAAACTGCACTCTATTCTACTGGCCCAATCAGTCATGAAATTCATTTAACATTTAGCATTACGAGTTAGGAATTATGTAAACACACCGGTTAATTTGATAAATTTATCATATTTACCAAATTTAGTGGTGATGATGCTCAATTACCGATCATTATATATAATCACCAGTTATCACTTATACCATGACATACATACATGTATCGACAGACCGCTCCGTTGCTGTTGCGGAGTTGGGCACGATGGTCAAGCACAACCAGAGACATGTACGTGAACTAAACTACATCTAGGCGTAACCTTTTCAAGCCAATACGGTAGATAACAATTATACCGTTCGGGGTAACAAGAACATTATAGTAACATGAGAAACCAAAGTTTACTTGCAATCTTGGGCATCATAGTGGTAGAATGGTAGTTGTGTTTGAGGTGCTAAGTGGTGTATCAGTGTTAATAAAGTAAAGTTATTAAACGTGATTACTATTTCTTATGATAAACAATAATTATGAAATGGTTAAATTTGTTGCTCGTATATTTGTGAAAAACAATATATTAAAAATTCTTCGGTACCATTTTATACGTAAGCATTCAATTAATAAATTTAACATTTTGTTTTATAAAAACCTGTTAGGGTAGAATAAGGCGGTCGGGCACAACCTTATCCCTCACAAATATGTAGTAGTGTAATGTAATTGTTAATTTTCCAGAACATTTACCGCTTTAACCGCGGGCGACGCGGAAATCGCGTTATCCGCATATTGTTAAATTTGGCGGGCCACACTATTACCGCGTCGCATCTATTTTTGAAGAGTTTGTACGTCGGGAAACGCTTCTTTCCCGTCATACATATTTCTTGTTGGGGCTTAAATAAGTGAAGGTATTGTAGTAAAAATTTAGACGAATCACAATAGTCAGGCTGGATAATTGTATCAGTAGTGCATGTGCAAGTTTCTGCATGTTCAGAATATACGTACATAAATACAAGAGCGCAATGTTTTATCCACAATTATTCTTCAATATTATTTGAACTATATTAGGAAATTATGAATATGTCGAAACGTGCAATTTGTTATGATAGTGAAAGTGCTGAGGACGAACTCCTGTTGTAATCTTGCAGTAAAAATATTGAAAAAACATACAGTGATTGCGAAACGAGTGATCAAAGCGTGAATTCAGGATCAAGTGATTGTAATAGTTAGGATGAAACTTTTAGTGACAGCAGTAAAGAATCTGATGCAGAAGAGGAAGGTTTTTCAAGTGCGCGCATTTGAAATGAAATTGATCAAAATAATGTTCTTCCTGCTCCGCCACATTTTCTTTTTACATCAACACCTGGAGTAAACATTAACCTAAACGAAAATGCAAAACCACTTGCCTATTTCGAAATATTCATAGATGATGAGCTAATTGGTATTTTGGTAACTGAAAGAAATAAATACGCCAACCAGGAAATAGCGCAACAAACAACATCCAAAAATTCTAAATCAAAGAAATGGGTGAATGTAGATACTCCAGAAATGCGAGTATTTATAGGCGTATTGTTATTACAAAGTATAGTTCATTTACCTGAACAAGAATGGTACTGGTCAAAAAGAGAATCAATTCGTGTTCCTATTTTTGCAGAAGTTATGTCCCGAGACAGATTTAGACTTATTATGAAATACTGGCATTTTTCCGATAATTCGACTTTCAACCCAGAATCACATCCCTGTCCAAAATTACGTAAATTATATAAAGTTGTAGAATACTTGCGCTTGAAATTCATGGCAGTATTGGTTCCCAAACAAAATATTACTGTGGACGAAAGTTTGACGTTGTTCAAGGGAAGACTTGGCTGGAAGCAATTAATACATTCCTATGAAAAGATCTCGATTTGGTATAAAGTCATACGTTTTATGTGAATCAGAATCAGGTTATATTTGGAATTTTCTATTGTATGTTGGTAAAAATACGTTGTATACGCAAAAATATGAAAATTACCCTGTATCAACCAAAACTGTTTTATATCTAATGGATTCATTACTAGACAAAGGGTATTGTGTTACTGTTGATAATTTTTACACGTCTCCTCAACTTTCTGATTTTCTTCTAACACATAAGACAGATACTTACGGTACACTCAGATCAATCAGGAAGGATTTGCCAACAGGTTTTGCAAGCATAAAATTAAAAAAAGGGGAAATAAAAGCTTACCAAAGAGGAAAAGTGACCGTGTTGAAGTGGCAAGATAAAAAAATAGTTTGTGCTTTGAGTACAGTGCATAACTCGTCATCGTGCACTCTCAAACTTACAAACGGTCAAGAAGTGGTAAAAGCCTCAGCTAATAATTGATTATAATCAAGAAGGAACCTCGAAGAAGGTGTGTAGTGTGCTGCACAAGAAAAGGTAAATATGGTAAAAAAATAAGAAAAGAAAAGAAACCAGAACTTGGTGCGAAGAATGCAACGTAGGACTATGTATGGAACCGTGCTTCAAAATTTATCATACTCAAACAATTTTTTAGAAATTAACGCGATAATCACGTTTCCCCCATATTGTGTAGATTATCTTAATAATTTTTTTTTGCTTTTTTTTTCATATTTATCTTTTATTTTTCATATATCCCCTATGATTTTTATTTCTAATGTAATAAATGCATAAAATGTTCCCGCGGTTTTTGAGAAAAAAAAGAAAAAAGCACCCGCGGTTGGAGGTTAAACGACGTAAAACATCAGTTCTTATGTAGATCCTTAAACATTCTGATAAATTGTTAGTCAGAGAGCTAAAGCGTAAAAAACGCATGTCGTCCCAGCCTTTTGCCGCCTAATCCATCAACTTTTTAAGTCATTTAGAGTATTTTTTCTTAAATGATATATAATATATTAGAAGTAACCGGAGTTAAGAGGAGTAGAAGTAGAGTTACATTAGGTTACTGTTCGCAAATAGCTAAGGATATGGAATGTTCTAGTTTTAGGGAAATGCGAAAATTAGCTCAGGATAGGAAAGAGTGGAGGTGCGTGTCCAACCACTGTTAGGACTGATGACATTATGATGATGATAATATATAACCGGGATTTGGGCTCATTTTGAGATAAGCGAAGGGAGAAAAATCGAAAAAAGAAAAATGTCGGTCTAATCGTTTGGATTTGACGGTATCATTTACTTAAAATACTCCACATTCCGGGAGAAAGAATGGCAGAAAATATTCATAGGCTATTTTTCCGTAAGTGAATAAAAAAAAAGTGAACCCTAACCCGATCTAAAAAATGTAATATTTTCTTATCGATGTGAGTATCGACAGAAAAATAGTAGCAAAAGTTTTGGACGGGCCATTATTTAGTAATTTGGCGTCGAAAATTGGACCGAAAATGCCAAACTACAAAAAAAATTAAAAGAAAAAATGGAAGAAGTGGAAGAGGAATTACAGAAGAAGAGAGATAAGAAAATGAAAAAAAAACTGAAATGGCTAATGGAAAATTCAGAGAGAAGGAAAAAGAATGTAATAATTAGCGGAACGGACATACAGGATAAAAAAAAACTTAAAGAAATGGATGGAGGAAAAGCTAGAAAGAAAACTAATAGTACGAAAATTCTGCCTCTTGAAAAATGTAGAAAATACCCAAGGAGTACAGCTGGAAAGCATAGAGCAAAAAAAAAGACAATGTTATGTTGTCTGGAACGTAAGGGGCATAAATGGTTTAGACGAAGAGGATAAGTATGAATTAAGGAAAAACGACATATTAAAAGTGACCGAGACCTTGATAAAAAAAGATGTTCAAATGTTCAACTAGAGCGACAGCTAAAACATATGAAATGACGAAAATAAACGCCAAGAGAGAAAAGAAAAACGGAAGATTCAAAAGAGGTATGGTCACAGTGTTCAGAAAAAACTTGCTAGATAAAGGAATCACCAACCAAAAAAATAAACGATGAGTTAATGAGAATCGACTTGAAGGCAAGAAGTGAAAAAATAATAATTGTGAGTGTATACATGGGAGAAAATTTTGAAAGGATGGCAAAAATCATATAGGAAAATAAAGGAAACCCGATAATAATAGGAGGAGACTTAACGCTAGAACAGCTCGAAAAGGAGGCAAAATAGAAGATGAAACAGAAATAGAAATTCAGACGACAAAACTCTAAATGAAGATGGGATAAAACTAATAAACTGGATGGAAGAGCTAGATCTATACATAATAAATGGAAATTTCACAGGAAATGAAAACGCATGTATGACATATGCTGGAGCAGCGGGAAAATTGGTGGTTCTTAAAATTCTTCCCAATTTGAATACGAATCTTCATTTTCCATTCTTAATAACAATAATATGCACTAATTGACCCTAAGAATCAATAAATTAAATTACTAAACTGTTCGTATGGGTATTGAAATGTCAACAATTAACCTGTATTTTATGTTTTATAATTCTGTTAAAAATTTCAGAACCATCTTCGTAAAAAATTAAACGATTTTAGCTGCTTTCACAAAAAACAGTAAATAATTTGAAAATTAAATGATATGGATATAGGGAACCCCGTACCATTCGAAAGAGAATAAAATGCTGCATAAATCTATGGAAATATGTACAGGGTATTCCATTTGAAAAAATGGATTTAAAGTTGTTTGAAGTTAATCAAATGCGCGATTAAACATTTAACACCCTGTATGTAATTAATCCATTTTGAAAGTATGGAAGGGAAGCTTGATCATTGCAAGAACACTTATATCATCATAAACTCGTATTTGAAAAATTAATAGTATCAAACTACAACCTGATAAATGTGAATTTTTGCGCAAAAAGGTACATTTTTTAGGGCATGTTGTCACTACCGAAAGAGTTTCACCAAATCCCGATAAACTGAAAGCCATTAAAAANAAGATGCAAGTAATCTTACAAGTACACCTGAAAGATGCTTCATCGTAAATGATATAAGAACATATTTTTCTACAATTGCTTATATATTTATACGTGATAATCTTACCCAGAAATTATTTTGTTTGTTCCTGTGTGATGTATACGATACAAAAAAATTACAATTATGCAAATAAACTTAAAAACATAATGTTATCACGTAATTATCGTTTTATAAATGAGATAGTGACGTTGACATTTTTATTGTAGGTATTAAGTTTTGGTTCCCACGAGTGTTTGGCAATAATTTAGTCAAATGTAGGTAAGTAATCGTTAATTAAACAAAGATAACAAATTATAGTTTCAGAAGCTTTATTATTGACACTATAGTATTGTTTCACCACTATGTGACATCATTAGATGTGATTATTTGACAACAATACGCCCAGCATAGAAGTACTGATATAATGTAGAGAAGGTAGGGGTAGTAAAACCTTTATTTTCTAATAGATTTAATTCTAAGACTGATATTTGCTGCTAACTTAAGTATGTCAAATGTTTCCGGACGGCGACATGTTACCAATGCTTGCCTTAGTAAATCGCGATTCAGGTCTGACAATTTCGATGAATTACTGACTAAAAACTGAATTCGTTCTTACTATTTTAATTTACGTGCCTTACTCATGCATATGGATATTATGCGTCGTTGATTCAATTGGACAAGTACATACCTTAAAAAGGCTCTTGTC